AAATATATTTATAAATATATAATATATATATATATATATATATATATATATATATATATATATATAGTGTGTCAGGGTGAACCTGGGAACAACAGCAATTAAGAGGTTGTTACACACACCTTACAACCTCCCGATCAGAGGCCTTGCTGCCGGATGTAGTTTATCGTCATACCCAGGACGCGCGCGTGTGTGTGCGTCATAAGATATATCAACATATGTATTAAATGAAAATGTGAAGGGGGATACCTGAAGGGGATAGAAGTAAGAGTATTTGCTCGTGATAAACCTCTTAGCCTAAACACAAGGTTTTTCTTGTATAGTTCGTAAATTGCTCTTTGTTTAACAAGCTTTGTATTTCGTGTGTGAAATTTGGTGATAACATAATAACGAATTCTTGGTAAAAGATAAAGTGAACACAGAAAGTTATCGTCTATAAATTTTACTCTTTATAGCTCTACACACTTTAGGCGCCCAAGGCTCTGATTGCCTACTCTACCTTCTAAGGTGTTGCTAAGATTATCCTAACTCTGATTAAACTTGTGTTCCTTTAACATTTTAACAGACTTTTAAAATCTTAACTATATTGTTTCGAGATCTGTATACTGACATTTTGGGGCTCAGTCTGCCTTACATTTTTTTTTTATTTTTCTATAATCCTCTTATTATTCTTGTTAATTCGCACGACCGTTATGCCCTGCCAATACTTCATAAATAATGGACTATTCCGTTTTGATCTCGTGGAAAGAGGGGAAAAGACTACCTGATTTAATTCTTAGACCCTTTGAGCCCTGACCATCGCTTTGCCGGTAGTAGAGAAAAAACGACTTAATACCCAGCTACCGGTTGAACGGTGGGTAAACACTTGTAACTATTCTTTAACCTACCGTGAAACATTACATAACAATTATTTGCGAATTTTGACTCAAGAGCTCAGGCAGACGGGTTAAAATTGTTAAAGTACGTAGGACTCAAAGGGGTAACGGCTGTTTCAATGAAATGGGAAAAGTTGTCAATTTTAAAGTTTTTCATTTGTACCCTCTTACTTCTTAAAATAATGATTAGCATTCATATTTATGATTTATTGCAATATTTTCTTAAAGTTGTTAACCTCAAGTATTTAACGATGCAATACGAATATTTTATTGTCGTATAAATCGGTATAAACTTACTCAATCATTAACTTAATTAAAATTCATCAGAAAATTAAAATTCATCAGAAAATTAAAATTCATCAGAAAATTAAAATAGGGTACCTTGAAATCTTCGCGGATTAAAACTAGTTTTTTTCTCAATAGTACAGTTTTACTTTTAAGTTATTTTCCAGTGTCTTTACTGGTTTTGATAATGCTTGCGTTTGATTTTAAAACCGTGATAAAGTGACGACATATTTTATTGCAGTAAGCTACTACATATGTAGTTCATGTAGGTAAAAATGAACTTTTCGTTTTTGTTTTTTATTTTTTTTTATTTTTATTTTTTTTTTGAGCTTGGTTAAGTGGCCGCAAGTTGCGAGTATAGGCTGAGCGATGAAACATCAAATTCAAAGAGTGGAAGAGATAAATCTCAAGAACGTGTTAAAACAAATCAATAAGTTTTTATTAGTTTACACGACACTAGAGGAAAATGTACTCGTATTTGGAATAGTAAATGACAAGAGGTGATAATACGTTTGTGTGAGTAAAAATATTTTCAGAGTTTAAATTTCTTACAGAACAACTACGTGTGAGTCAATGAAAATATAATCCAGATTAAAATAACCTTGTGAGCGATAAAAAAAATATAACTATGGAATTTAAAGGTTGTGCGTTGGTGTATTGTAGGTGTGTGCGTGTTCACATATAAACAATTAAAGAAGCAACAAAATCTTTTTTTTTCTTTTACTACGAACCGTTTATTAGGGAAACAAAGATCTCAATGCTACTTGGGTATGTCCGTTTTCTTTTTTCTGGTCCAGAAACAAGTTAGGGTAAGTAGTGGTAAGCATCGTTATAATGTTTGAGCTCAAATCAGCCTTGCGCAGAGTTAGAACGACCAAAGAAAGTTTGTAATTAATTCATCAGTGGCAGATTAAGCATGGTTATAATGGCCGAGCTGAAATCAGCCTGGCGCTGAGTTGGAGCGACCAAAGTAAAGATTGTAGTTACTTCATCGTGTAACTTCGACAAAACACATCCGAACATTATGTGTTGGGAAGTGGAAGAGTGTTCTGTCGTCAGTCAACCGAGGAAAAGAAACGCACTTCTTCGAGGATGTTTTCATCCTTGGAGTAAGAGAGAGAAAGGGAGTCAAAGCAAAGAAATTTTGTCTTTTTATAGAATGTAAACAGCGCCGCCTACGGACGTTTGGCGGAGCCAAGTCTGGCAGTAGAAATTCTGATTCCTTTATTATTAGCATCATGCAAAATATATTTCTTTTTCTTTCTTTTATTTATTTATTACTTATTATTATTATTTTATTTATTGATTTTAATTTATCGTCCTACAGTTCCTGCAAAATATTTGAAAGATCAAAATGATTATGGAAAATTTCTTTTGCGAAATTATTCAAGCTGTAATCAATATAAATTTGTCTTATTTATATTATTTACACGGGGACTATTGTCCCCATCTTTATTGTTCACTATTTACATTATTCGGACTATTGTCCGAATCTTTGTCGCCATATTTATTACAATGTTTCGGCTGTTGTACGCTCCGGCCTTCTTCAGGTGGTTGGAATGTTGAACTGAACCCTTTATTTCGCTCACTGGGGTAGACTGTTCTAGTTCCACGTGCCATGCTTAATGGATGTTAGTTATCAGTTATCTCCTGTTAGTTTCCCTCTCCAAGTTCTCCACTGCCTTAACCGGGTATTGAAATCACACTCTTTGGGTCCTGTCATTGGATCTAATTAACGCCTTTATCCACTGTGCCATGTGTCCTCAAGGACAATAATAAATATGGCGACAAAGATGAGGACAATTGTCCGAATAATGTAAATAGTGTAAATAATAGCTCATCTCAGAAATATAGACAGATCTTTATTGTTGTTTTCGCAACAATCCAGGAAACCTCTAGGGAATTTCGAACAGAATCCTTTATTTAATCTAAGAGGGTAGATTGTTCTCGTTCCGCTGCTCCGGTCTAGGGATATCTCGTCGATCTCCATAGGTTACACAGATCAACAAGCCCCTGATGAAAGTCGGTGGGGGGCACAAGCGCCGAAACGTTGTGATAACAATAGTCAGCGTGTAAGTAATATAAATAATGCCAACTAAGCATCTTAGAAATTCAGACAAATTGTTCTTAATTGGCAAAAAAACGTGTAAACTGAAGGTACACTTTTTAAGTTGTAGAAGTGAGCAAAGTTTAATAAATAAAATATTTTCTTAAATCCCTTGAAAAGTATCACTTATTAATCTGCTTAACACCTTGTTAACATTAGCATTCTTAAGGACATATCGGTTAGCTAACTTCGTTTGTTGTCGTGTTCTTGAGGATAAAATCGTCGTTTGATGAGAACGTATTTAGTAACTCCAATAGCAAATGGCTGTCGTGATTTTTTGCTTTGTTGCGATCTAGGCGGGAAAAAGATTCTGTGTCGAAAATTCCAAATCACACCAGAACTTCCATATAACGTCATGCTCTTAAAAATATTTTTTCTGTGCCGATAATTCTTTATCACATTGGGATTTTTCTATCGCGTCGTGGTCACCAGTGTGGAGGTTAGCGCAGAATGTGGGTTTTTATATTCAAAATGAATTAACACTGAACGAACAATGTCTCGGAAAGTTTACTTTCTTATTTTATGCATACAAATTGTATCCTTCTTGTTCCATTGACTTCGTAGCTCCTGGTACGTTGAAACAGAGAGAGAGAGAGAGAGAGAGAGAGAGAGAGTCCTCCTTTTTTGTAGAAGGCAGTCGTCCTGATTATTTCTTTGGTTGTGAGAAGAGTGGCTCTCCCTGTTCCGCTTTCTGACAAACGAGTAGAAAAAATAACTTGAACATCTCTTTTCCTGGGTCTATATTGATGCTGGGTAATGCGGTTAATGCGTATAGGATTGTGCTTCGATTTGGTACAGGGTTTTTGATCTTTTTTTCTTATCCAAGTATCTGGTTTCAGAAATGAAGTTAGCTAATTGACCTGTCCTTAAGAATACCGGTGTTATGGTTAATGAAGTGTTAAAGAGACGATAAGTAGGTGATACTTTTCAGGGGATGTAAGAAATATTTTTATCTTATTTTATTTATTAAACTTCATATACAAAGCATATAGAGCACCACGAAGTGGGGGCAGTGTAGTAAGAGTTTTCTTAGGTGCATTTTAAATCGTGAAGGTACTGCGTTGAATACTGAGTGACATAAATCTTGAGGCGAGTAACGAAAAGAATCGAGGTTGTTGTATGTTTCTGGTTGCTAACGTATTTGTCAACTACTTGTCTTAGTAAAGTCGTTTGTTGCATGATGAAAGATTTGTTTGTTTTTTAGACCTTTAAGAAGTGACTGTTGACGTTCAATTTGGCTATTCAAATGACAACTGGTCGAGTTTATCTAGAAAGTGTCAAACACGTGCGTATATTGAATTTTCCAATCAAAGTGTCATTAAAGATGTCATTTCGTGCATGTGACACAGCAAGGGACACATTTGCGTAGTAAGGATTTGGAGAGTCCAGCATAACTTGTACAATTGACTGCCAAGTATCCATTGGTGAAAAGGTTTTATAGTGACCGAACTCAATTGTTTATTTATTTATTTATTTTTTGCGGATTATGAATATTTTGCAGGTTATTTAAAGCCATAAAATATTTTTGAATTGAAAGAATTTTTTGGATTTAATAATGATTTACTAACACGAGTCTTACTAATTAATCCATAACTGGGAGGAGAAGAGATGGAATCATATATTTCGAAAAGTTATTTGCGCGTAAGTGAATATACGAACCCGACTGGAATTTGAACTTGTCTCTCCAATTTCAAATTCTGAGCTGTTATTAATTACACCACCCGCATACCCAAGTTTACAGAACCTGCCATTCCCAAGCGAGCACCCATCTTGATAGTGAACAAAAGCGACGTTGCTTAACTTCGGTGATCGTATGACAACTGGTGTTTCACTGTGATATAGCCGTAAACTATAGGGTTTTATAGCTTGTGGAAATCTAAACTCGGAACATCCAAACCATTTACCTTTTCTTTTCTTTTTTCTTTTTTGAATGTCATGTTATTAGTTAAAACATAACTTCTGCTTAATTATGATTGGTTGAATAATGCGTTTAGATGTTGAGATTGAATATTATAAATGGGCGTGTCAATTTGGCACCAATTTATTCCACTGGGTAAAGTTCAAGATAATTTTACTCTGCTAATGTGTTGATTCCAAATCTCAGAATTATCTTGACACAATTATATATATATATATATAATTTTTACCCAAGCAATCCAATAATGTCACTAAGCCATAAGGAGTTACTGAATGTGAGAGAATATGCGAAAAATGAAAAACAGGAATCAGAACAATAAAAGAACAGGAATGAAGAAGAGGGATGATAACGTTTGACATTGCATTTATATTTTTGAAAATCAAAGTTAACTTGGAAAGCAAGAGAACGGAAAAGAGTTCCACTAGCGAGAAATGCGAAAGGACAAACTGTTAACATAAAACTTACAATTACATCTAGTCATTTTAACTGTAAAATGATAAGACATTGTCACCAATCATGTAGTAGTACACTTAAATTCGTAATGTCTAGGTACCAAAGTGGAAAAGTTCTTAGAACAATTACCATGAAAATACAGTGTAACCCGGATATAAGAGAGTTGTCGGGACCAGAGAAGTCTCTTATATCCGGGTTTCTCTTATATCCGGGTTTGGTCTATTTTGTTTAGGTAACACAGGCTCTAATTTGGGACCAGAGAAAATCTCTCTTATATCCGGGTTTCTCTTATATCCGGGTTACACTGTATTTATAGAAAAATACTCGGCAAGCTACGTTACGATGTTGGAAAAGTGACTGAAGTGGAGCTGCCAGGTCATGATCAATAACATTGCAAATTTTTCTTTGTTTTTTAAATACATAACGGAAGCACTAGTTCAGATGTGACAACAATATTCAATGCATGGACGAATGGTAGATTTATACATGTTTAAGATTCTGTCAATAGAAAATTGTCTAGCACGACACAGTGAATCAACTTTCCTAACAGCAGATCTAGCAATTGATTCAATATAATCTTTCCACTTCATGTTAGCAGAAAATGTTCCACTTCATAAAATGTTAGCTAGAGAAAATAAAAAATATTCTGCTTGAATTCGCATTAAAGCGCTTTATTGAAATTTTTAAAACTTTGACTTAAGAAATCACATAATGCGAATTTAAATTTACTATAAATCCTCAATATTTTTATCAATTTAGCATAATTATAGATGTAAACAAAATAATCAATATAGTCAATATTTTAACTTACTAAAATGCTTGGCAACACACAGTTGCTCATGTCTATGAATATTGTCTAGTACTTTTTTTTTGTACTATTCCGTTATTTCTCGCTCTTTTCGACTGAGTGCAGATACACACTGTTCGACCCAGGGATTGGACTCCCAACTACGGTCAACAAATTCACAAACCTAGTGAATAAAAGCGGTGGTTTGTGAATTTGGTGACATTGTGGTGATGAATTCAATCCCTGGGTCAGGCAGTGTGTACTTGCACTCAATGGAAACTGACGAGCAATAATTGAACCGTACTAAATAAAATAAGAACTAGAAGATGTCCCTAGGCATGAGCATTAGAACGAGAACAGTATACCCTCGTAAATTATTTAAAGTGTTCAGTTCAGAATTCCCTGTGGTTTCACAAGGAATTCTGAACTGAACACTTTATTTAATTTACGAGGGTATACTGTTCTCGTTCTAATGCTCATGCCTAGGGACATCTAGTTCTTATTTTATTAATACTGATTGATACATACCTGAAGAAAGCCGGCGGGCAAAACGACCGAAATGTTTTGATAACAACAAATATAAACAGTGTAAATTTCATTAATCTCCTTTACAGGACTTTTGACTTCCAGACAACATGAAAAGGGATCTCTTTCAAGCAACTATTACCTCTGTTCTATTGTATGGCTGCTCAGTATGAGCCCTTAGCTTAAAACTGGAAAAAAGATTCGATGGAGTCCTACAACACTCGTAAGCTAGGAGTGGCTTTCAATGTAACTTGGAGAAATCGTCTGACCAATGTGCGATTGTTTGGGAAACAATTTCCAGCATCAGACATCATCAAAGTGTGTAGATTCAGATTCGCAAGACATTGCTGGAGAGTTAAAGACGAAATTGTTAGTGAGGTTCTACATAAGGAAGTGTTAGCAGAGGATGACAAGACAAGACAAGACTTATACAAGCAGATTTGTGACTGCAATCCCTCTCACTTGACTAATATAATGAACAATAGAATTAGTTGGCGACAGAGAGTCAAAGGAATCCATGCAAGCAGTGAAACCGGATGATGTCTATCTAAAAAGTAGGGTTTAGATTGCTACGCTATTTCCCTCTCCAAATTCTCCACTGCTTTAACCGGGTATTGAACTCACACTCTTTGTACCCTGTCACTGGATCTAACTAACGCCTTTATCCACTGTGCCATGTGTCCTTGAGGCAGTGGAGAACTTGGAGAGGGGAATCAACAGAAGATATCTGACAACTAACATCCATTAAACATGGCACGTGAGCGAAATATAGGGTTCAGTTCGACATTCCTGTTGTTCATGGTCGTCTTTGAGTATAGAATCCAGAGGTTAGCAGTGAATATTTCGAAGACAGTAGGGAAGCGTTGTTCAGGTTAGCAGTGGATATCCCGGTAAAAGTAGCAGAGCGTAGTTCAGTTGTTCTCCCTTCTGTTCTTTCGCCTGACAAGTTGGCACTGGACATTCGGAGAGAGTAAACAAAATGGCCGCCTTTATACACGACGGATTGAATATTTTACGTCTTCTGATTGGTTAACCTTCTATTGGTGGACTATAAAGTGAGTAAAGTCATTTGGGCTAGCTCACTAGTACAAAAAATACACAAAAAACTGCAACAATTCTAACCACCTGAAGAAGGCCGGAGCGTACAACAGCCGAAACGTTGTAATAAATATGGCGACAAAGATGAGGACAATAATCCGAATAATGTAAATAGTGTACATAATACCTCATCTCAGTGTTTCACGGTGTTTTATGTTTGCAGACTTTTTTGTATTATCTATTTGGGTGGTGGTCCGGACTGATGAATCAGGGTACGCTAGATCTAAGTTTTCATCCCAATTATTTCCAACCAATGTTCCCTCTAATCCTCGCTGCACTGATCTAATCAGCTGTAGCCAGAAGTCTTCCCTGTTCAGTAATGACACGTTGAACTTCCAGTATTCAGCCATTCTAGGCCTAGCGTCTAACGCCATCCGGGTACAAACGAGTTTGTGGACCGAATAGCCTAACCAGTGACACGTGGAACAATTTAGCAGCTCGACTATTCTCATCAATATACTATCCAGGTAGCTGACCACCTGAGTATACACCCAATTAAGAGCCCACGTCCAATCTACCGCCCGGAGCTATCAACCCGATATCTATCGGTATCTATCGATAAGACCTAACTCGTAAATCGGATCGAAATTCACGCAACCTCTCGCTAGCTCCCCGTCTCGTGTCTAATAGAACCCTAGAAGGAGAAGAAGGGATGTTTCTTGCCTTACCTGCCGGTGTTGCTTGGGCTTCTTCCGTCCTTGCTGGCGAAGCAGGGGCAGATTGGGCTTTGGCATCTTAGTCTTCTCTGTCCTACTTCGTTGTTGCTGCAACTGCTCTGGCTGATGCTCTTGCTTTCATGGACGTAACAATTTTCAGAAAAATTTCAGTGTGGGAATAAAATCTCAGATGTAAAATATTTATTACTGTACAAAATACAATAAATTTGGCACGTGGCCGAAGGGGATGTGGGGGGAAAGGCTGGTCTTCACTAACTATCCTACTCCTAGTTAATCACAATCACGACTCATTCATCCGATACAATTTATCCATTCAGAAGTGTTCGATTTTTTTATAGATACTCTTTTGTTGTGTCCTTCTAGTTTTTTTTTATATGTCTCGATAAGAAGAAATCAGAGAAAGGTGAGCCATAAACTAAGATGGCAAAACTATTTTAACGTATATTAATATGCTGTTAAGCTAATGATTTATCGTGTAAAACAGCGGGTCGTTTCTTATAAGTGACGACGGGCATGGAAAAATTTTATTCCAGGTTGTAAGTACTGAGCTATGGAGAGCAAGTAAACCGTTTTTCCAATTGTGGACGATTCACAATAATCGATGAAATATTGCAATAACAGCGATCGCGTGGTGGATTCCAAAGATGAAAAAGAGCTTCGAAGTAGTACCTATATACCCAAAATATCAGAACTTACGTCATCATAGGAAGTTTGATTGATTAATTTGTTTTCTACGGCTTATCAATTCTTTACTGGATATTTAAAGCCAGAAAATAATAAAATTGTAAAAAGAAAAAAATATATTTGTACATATTTAAAAGTTTTTACAACATGGGTGTTTTTATATGATTCCTGGGAATATACGAAATGTTGGATCATGTGAATAAGGATAGGTTCTTGTGGTGATTGCATTGTATACCCCACTTCTTGCTGGGGGTAGTTTTGGGCGACGGTCTTTATTCATTCATATGTTGCTTTCTTCTTTCTGTCATCTTCCAGTCGGGTGATCGCTAGTTGTTCTTTTAGTTCGGAGGTAAAATGAGGACTTCAACAAAAGGGATTTTTAAACTTATCTATTTTATTAACACGCCGACGTGTCCACTTTTAACTAGCCAGTGGGGTCGCTCTATCACCCTCAGTGGGGAGCAAATTCCTCGGGACACGAAAATTACATCTGATCTTTTCAAAGTGTAAAAACTTACTCCTCGAAAACACTTTCTATTTCTCTACCTTTTCCAAACTAGTTTTAACCAATCAAGAGGGACTTCCGTTGTTTTGTCTACCATCTAACCTTAAGGTCAAAATAAGGAAGTCAGAGGAGAATACGATTCTTTAAAAAAATAATAGTCTGTTAAACTATTATTTAACATTCCTTACCTAACCATAAAA